ATCCTTAAGTAATCGCTACTTCTAGCTAAAATGCTTTGGTTTAAGTGTTTGGCTAAAAAAGCAAGGTTAGAAGTTTAAATGGTACGTCTGCCTTATAACATTTGGCAAATATTCTTTCCTCAGAATCCAGAGAGTTTTCTAGAAATTGTCTCTAAATCCTGATTATTCTAAGGAACCATCTTTTTGGAAGCTCAATCAACACAAGCAAGTAATCGCTACTTCTAGCTAAAATGCTTTGGTTTAAGTGTTTGGCTAAAAAAGCAAGGTTAGAAGTTTAAATGGTACGTCTGCCTTATAACATTTGGCAAATATTCTTTCCTCAGAATCCAGAGAGTTTTCTAGAAATTGTCTCTAAATCCTGATTATTCTAAGGAACCATCTTTTTGGAAGCTCAATCAACACAAGCATGCAGGTGTCAACATCTTTCCCAATTACTTCACACCTAGCACTCCAACAATTCTGCTCAGAGAGCAGAACAGCCTAATGAAATGAGGGCTACTTAGCTAGTTTTTATGGTGCTGTTGCAGAAGGGCTGTGTGTTTGCTTTTTGCTGTGTGCTTTTAAAAACCATATTGGCAGTTCTTTCCTACCTTTTACCATTTGCCACAACTGAGCTAAAGAGCCATCCAGTGTACAGTTGCCAATATGCTTTTGTTCCAAGCAGGTTCATCGTTTCAATTTATTTTCAGTAACTTCGCACAGTCTATAGACATTCATCTATAGATAGCTAGAGGTCAGACTATTAACTTACATTCACCCTGAAGGTCAAATATTCACAGTTTGGTAAACACTGGTCTGAATCTTGGTGAGTGAGTTTACTTGGGTCTAGCCTACATTAGGAAATACTATGAGCATAGTGTCAATGAACAATATGAAAAGCAGCCTGTTGGAAAGGTGGATTACCTACACCAACAGGAGAACCCTCCTGTCAGCAATAGTAATGTCTAAATTAAGGGGGTGCAGCTGCAACATATTAAGTGTGGATAAGCTCTTGGTTTGCTGGAACTTCTCCTTTAAGTCCCTCAAACAGGAGAGTTGCCCATATAGGACAGAAGAGGTAGAATCTTTTAAGAGCAGGGTAATTTTCCCATAATCTAATCAAGATTCCTTAGAGGGACTATAATTTTAGACAACTTCAGGGGAGGAAGGAAAGGTGTCTGTAAATACTCCTAAAGGAAATGTTTTTTAAGTTTATCCTAAGGAATGTTAGCCATCTAAAAGTTTTCAGGTTTTGCCTGATTGCTTGAAGGAAGAGAGGGCTTAACTCCTACCTCTTGAAGAAAGGCAAAAAATGGAGGTGAGTGGGGCTTACCTATCTTTTATAGGCAGCTGAGCTCTTGGGAAAAGGATTTCCAAAGAAGACTCCTGCCACAAAGAGCCAGATTCCTCTCCTCACAGCAGAAAGACTGTACCAGTGAAGAGATGAACAAAATATAAAATTAGCTTTTAGTACTTTGGCCCTCTTTCAATTCACCAGCTGTGAGTGCCACTACAAAAAAAAATGGCAAGATAAAAATTAGTGTGGGTCCAATCTTGTTTTATGGAGAATGGTGATGTAGTATCATTTGCAATTTTATGACATTTTCATTTAAGTTTTATGAGTCTGCCTTTCCAACAAAGTGTTTGCACGATTAGCTACCTTCCATAGCTCAGACCATTCATATTTGGAGCCTACCACACTTGTAAGTCATAAGTTTGGTCCTGCTTTGGGTAGGGGGTTGGACTTGACCTCCTGAGGTCTTTTCCAGCCCTAGGATTCTATGATTCTATGACCTGGGCTGGAAAAGACCTCAGGAGGTCAAGTCCAACCCCCTACCCAAAGCAGGACCAAACTTATGACTTACAAGTGTGGTAGGCTCCAAATATGAATGGTCTGAGCTATGGAAGGTAGCTAATCGTGCAAACACTTTGTTGGAAAGGCAGACTCATAAAACTTAAATGAAAATGTCATAAAATTGCAAATGATACTACATCACCATTCTCCATAAAACAAGATTGGACCGTAGGTAACCTAGTCCAGTGCTTCACCACCTTCCTAGTAACACAGTTTTTCCTAATATCTAACCTAGACCTCTCCCACTGTAACTTGAGATCATTGCTCCTTGTTCTGCCATCTGTCACTACTGAGAACAGTCTCTCTCCATCTTCTTTGGAACCTCTCTTCAGGAAGTTGAAGGCTGCTATCAAATTCCCCCTTGCTCTTCTCTTCTGCAGACTAAATAAGCCCAAATCCCTCAGCCTCTCCTTGCGGGTCATGTGCTCCAGCCCCCTAATTTTGATTTCCCTCTGCTGGGCCCTCTCCAATGCATCAACATCACTTCTATAGTGCGGGGCCCAGAACGGGACACAATACTCCAAATGGGGCCTCACCAGTGCTGAATAAAGGGGAATAACAACTTTTCTATCTGCTGGAAATGCTCCTCCTAATTCACCCTAATATGCCATTCACCTTCTTGGTTACAAGGGCACACTGTTGACTCGTATCCAGTTTCTCATCCACTGTAATCCCCAGGTCCTTTTCTGCTGAATTGCTGCTTAGCCACTTTGTCCTTAGCCTGTAATAGTGCTTGGAATTCTTCCATCCCAAGTGCAGGTCTCTGCATTTAATCTTGTTGAACCTCATCAGACTTCTTTTGGCCCAATCCTCCAATTTGTCTAGGTCATTCTGGACCCTATCACTACCCTCCCAGATATTTACCTCTCCCCTAGCTTAGTGTCATCCGCAAACTTGCTGAGGGTGCAATTCATCCCCTAATCCAGATAATTAAAGATGTTGAACAAAACCAGCCCTAGGTCAGTAGTAGCTAAAGTTTTATCACTACCTGCAGTTCAGTGGCTTATCTGGAATGTCACTCTCAGTCCTGTAATTAATGAATATCACAAAACCCACAGCTATAGTTGCCAGTGATAAAATAGTCAAGATCTCAAAGGATACAAAGCCTGAAATCACTTCACTGGGATACTGGAAGGTTGAGTCAATGTGAAGATGCCAGTATTGCCACTTCCATATTTTGTATCTTTTCTAAGAAGAGGTGGAAGAAAGAGATGAGGGGAGGCTCAAGCTATGAACGTACAAGGTAAAATACCTAGTGCTCGATGAAAAAATTAGTTTATTGAAAAATGATAGTAGAAAATTGACTTGTGGTGGGGGGGGAGAAATCACCTTCTGAAGTTTGAAGAAAACACTTTAACTTTGCTTAGTTTTGTACAAATAATTATTGGGAGGACCACTTATAGAACTACACAAGAATCTGGGAACTGACGTCTCAACATCAATTCTGGATGACTCCTACAATGCTTAGTTCATCTGTAGCTCACTCAGCAGTAATCCCCAGCTAAAAAGCATTTCACAAAAAAAATGTCACCAGAAGATAAGAAAAGCTACGCTTAAATTTCTGCCCTTGGCTACACTGCTTATTAGATAGACCTCTAGGGTCCTCAGATTTCTGTTTCTTCAACCCTGAAAATCTGAGTTCGTGGATCACGTCATATTTCTGGCACTGGAAGTAGTCAGGCATTCC